TCTCATGTTTGATAAAATTCACTTGTAAAACCATCTGACCCAGGGCTTTTTTTGGTTGGAAGTTGTTGTATTACCCTGTGTTCAATTTCTGTTTGTGTCAGTGTAGGTAGTTTGTGCATTTCTAAATATTTTTCCATTACCTCTAGGTTTTCTTATTTGTTTGAGTATAGTTTTTCACAATTTTCTGTTAGGTTTGTGTTTGTTTTCTTTAAGTTGTTTTTTTCTGTTATGTTGCTTGATTCATCTCTTATTCAGATTATTTGTGTCATCTTCTTTTCTTTTGTGAGTTTTGGTAATGGTTTGTCAATTTTATTTACCTTTTCAAAGAACCAACTCCTAATTTTGTTGATAGATTCAATTGTTTTTCAGTTTTCTATTTCATTTATTCTCTAATTTTTATAATTTCAGTTTTTTTAGAAGGTGTTATGTTTTCTTGCTGTTGTTTTTTAATTTGCTGGAGATGTTGAGTTAGAGAGTCAATGGTCAGTTTTTCCTGCTTTTTAATATGTTTGCTTATTGCTGTAAATTGACCTCAGATTACTGCTTTGGCTCTTTTCCAGAGGTTTTGGTAAGTGATGTTTTCATTGTCATTTTGTTTCAAGAAACTTTTTCACTTCATTTTTTATTTCTTCTAGCACCCAGTCATGTCCAAGCAAGGTGTTCTTCAGCTTCCAAATGTATGGTGTTTTCTCCTTTATCTTGTTATTAATTTCTGATTTTGTAGCATTATGGTCTGAAAAGAAGCTTTGTATTCTTTGTTTTTTAATTTATTGATGCTTGCCTTATGACCTCGAATGTGATCTATTCTGGATAATGTTCCATGCACATCAGAGAAAAAGGTATACTGTGCTTTTTGGGGGGTGCATTAGCCTATAAATATCTATGAGGTCAAGTTGGTTCATTGTGTGGTTTAATTCTTCAGTATCTTTGTTGAGTTTCTTTCTGGTAGTTCTGTCTTTTCTTGAGAGCGATGTATTGAAGTCTCTAACTATAGTAGTGTTATTTCCTTTTTCATTTTTGTTAATGTTTGTTTTATGTATTTTGCAGGTCTTTCATTTGGTGCATAGATATTTATTGTTATGTCCTTTTGTTCTATTGACTCTTTCAGCTTTGTATAGTGACCTTCCTTGTCGTTTGTGAGGGTTTTTACGTTGACATTTATTTTATTAGAGATTAATATCTCTACTCCTGCTTTTTTCTGGTTGCCATTTCCGTGGTATATTTTTCCTCACCCTTTTATTTTTAGTCTTTCTTTATCCTCATTTTTTCAGGTGTGTCTCTTATAGACAACATATCGATGGATTTTGGCTTTTATAGCCAATCTACTACTCTTTTTCTCTTCAGCGGTGCATTTAAACCATTCACATTTAGTGTGATTATTGAGAGGCATGGTTTTATTGCAATCATTGTGTTGATTTCTTTTTGGTGTTGCTAGTTACTTTGATCTGTGCTGCTTTCTGTGGTACCTCTTTAAGAAGGACATCTCTCAGTCTTTTCTGCAATGCTGGTCTTGTTTTACAAACTATCTTAGCTTCTGTTTTTCTGGGACTGTCTTGATTTCGCCTTCATATTTGTTAGATAATTTTGCTGGGTACAGTATTCTTGGTTGACAGTTGTATTCTTTGAGTGTTTGATATATATCTTTCCAATTCTCTTCTTGCTTGTATGGTTTCTGCTGAGAAATTGGCACTTAATCTTATCTGCTCTCCTTTATAGGTTACTCTTTTTGCTCCCTTGCTGCTTTCAGGAGTCTCTCCTTATCTTTGGTTCTGGCAAATTTAACTATGATATGCCTTGGTGGTTTTCTTTAGGGGTCTATTCTGTATGGTGTTCTCTGAACTTCTTGAATATATATCTTCTCATTCTTCATTATGTTTGGGAAGTTTTCCTCTGGTAATTCTTCCACAATTTTTTTGGTACCTTTGCTTACTTTTTCCTGTTCTGGGATGCTAATGATGCACATGCTGTTTCTCTTGATGGTGTCCCACATTATTCTTGGGGTTTTTTTTTTCTTTTTTCTTTTTTTGAGTCTGCTTTTTACTTTAGCATATCAATTGTGACAATTCTATCTTCTCTTTCTCTAGTTCTGTTTTCC